AATCTATTCAAAACTATGAGCTGTCCTACTTATTTTAATCAAAATATAGCCTCCATTGGCTTTTTATGAACACAAACATGTGATGATATGAATGCCTTCAAGGCAATTGTTTTAAAGAATGGCTTTTTTCGATGTACCATTTTTTAAAACTTCATTTTTTCGTGTACGGGCGGGCAGACGGGCATACCCGGTATAATGAAGTGTTTCATATGAAAATCTATTCAAAACTTTTACTTATTTTAATCGTAGTCTTCATTTGTTTATATATGATCGTGATAGAAATGTTTTCAAGTCAATTGTTAACAATGTGATCATTTGAAAAGAATGAGTTGGATAGGATGTTTTTATTAAATGAATCAATTGAGATGTATCGTTGTCGAGGGGTGAATTATGGTCAAGTGGTGAATCAATCGTTGTGTTTTGCTCGTGAACGTGTGTTCATTCTCTTCAGAGCGGGTTCCGTCTTACCTTTGGAGTAATCTTTTTTGGCGGCGGCTGTGCGGATGACCGGTGCATCATCATCTGCTGACTTGCGTCGTTTTGCTGCAGTCTCTTTCGAATTCTTTCCTTTTCCACGTTTCATTGGAACTTTGACCGGCGTTGGCGGACGGTCGGCCGAAGGTGCAAATGCAGCCTCTTCAGACTTTGAGCCACTTCCACGCTTCTGTTTAGCCGGCGTTGGCGGATCTTCTATCTCACCATCATTTTGATCGTTTGCTGTAGTCTTGGACTTTGTTGCTCTTCCACGTTTCTTCGGAGTTTTAACCGGCGCTGGCGGATCTTTAATCTCACCATCATTGTTTGGCGACTTTTCCTCAAGGTCCTGTGAAATTGCTTCCAACGTAGGTGTTGGCGGACGAACGGACAGACGGACGGGCGGACGTGCAGATGTTTTTTTGGACTTTGAGCCACTTTTACTTTTCTGTGACGCTTTCACCGGTGTTGACGGATCTCCAGTCTTACCATCATTTTTATCGCTTGCTGTAACCTCTTGGGATTTATTGACACGCTCAGCATCTAGGCTTTGCTGGTAATACTGTGCATGTACAGGTGGATTATCGCCATCTGTAGAGTTGCCATCAGACCCATCGTCATCAGACGAATCGTCACTACGATCTTCTGCTGGCTTCAAGCTTTTTGGACAAGCTTCCGCCGGACGCTTGTCATTTGGTTTCATCATTGCGTTCTGTGCATGTACAGGTGGATTATCGCCATCTGTAGAGTTGCCATCAGACCCATCGTCATCAGACGAATCGTCACTACGATCTTCCGCTGGCTTCAAGCTTTTTGGACAAGCTTTCGCCGGACGCTTGTCATTTGGTTTCATCATTGCGTAAGCTTGTTTTATGAACGTGTTCCTAAATGATTCAACGTGGAGAAAAAAACGAACGGCGCTTTAAGAGAATTCAAAGACGAAGAACTAACACTTTAAAAAGTCCAATTTATTTGCTGTGAAGAAAGAAAAGGAGAAGAAACATACCACTCTGCAATGCTCCAAATTTTCGGCAAAATTGCCATAAAATCGGCAGGAACTGTTTGCTTATCCAAGCACTCAGACTTCAAGCAGAGGATGCGGAATTCAGCAAAAACTTTGGCCAATAAATTGAATTGATCCTTTGTCAAGCTTTCGTTGTTGGTAGCCAATTCATCTTTCTTGTTTGCCTTTTTAGACACAACTGGTTGTTCCTCGTCGCTGCTGCTGTCATTGTTGCTGTCGTCGCTGCTGCTGCTGCTATCACCCTTATCTTTAGCCCCCTTGTTCAAGTTCATCAAATACTTTTTGTAGCAGCCATGACGTGTGAGCTTCGAGTTTCCACTGCCAGTTTGGGCCAAGTGGATAAGTTCAGAGCATAAAGTGCAGTAATAAAAACTACGCACCAATGTTTTGTCGACATCATACACCATGTGAAAAACGGGTGTTTTCCATACGGCCGACGGGAATCCCGGCTGATCTTTTGGCCGAATCGAATGTATGTGGAACTGTTTTCTTTTTATCAATTTCTTCACCTTCTTCAGTGTCAATGTCAATGTCTCCATTTTCTATAACGAATAGAAAGTCAAATTTGGAAAATTAGGACAAGCGTAATTTTTTAGAATCAACCAAAATTAAAATAAAATAACTTTAAATGGTTTTTAAAATTTAATTCTTTTGTCATATTATATCTCCATCGAAACATAGTCAAAAAAAATGAATGTAAAAACGAAAATATAACGTTAATTCAATAAATAGACAGAAAAAGGAAACATAAAGTCCAGAGTTCCGTGCGTACGAACGTGCGTGAGTACAGAAGGTTTCGTGTATTATGAAATCTGTGTTTCTTTTTCCATACATTATTGTAAAGTTAGAGAAAGGAAATGGGCACATTCATCAATAATTGTGAACCAAATTAAAAAAAGAACAATGTCGCCAAAAATACGGTACATAGCTCGAAAATTGAACAAAATGTTCGTATTCTTCAAGTCAGAAATACCACAAAGGATAATGTGGGCTTATCAATGCAATTGCACGTGGGCTTATCGGCGGCTATATTTGATGACACAGATGCATAGTTAATTTGTTGACTGAATGAGTCTGGTCAGATTGAAATAGTACGGTCGTACGGGCGTGCGTGCGTACATTAGCTTCGTGCATCAAATATGTGTTTCAAAGAGCTTTCGAAATAAAACGGTCACTTGTTCGAATTGTGGTGTTTTATGAAACACATGAGTAAAATTGTCCCACCACAAAAATGCAATCAATCAAAACGGACTCGCATACGTTTCACTGTCTTTGATACGTACGAACGGACGGACGGCTGCGTAGATTTTAATGGTTGGTTTTATGCACGAATTGAAAATGTGGCCGAAAAATCAATCAATAACTCGAGAGCACAGAAAAATAATGATCATATAAATAAATATAACTAATGAACAAGCGATTACTCTAGAAAAGAACGTGGAATGTAAAGGAAAAATCACAAAACTTTGCCTTTATTCCATTTGAACAAACTAAATGCGGTTCGAAAATATGTGTGTATACTGTACAGTGTACACTGTACATAGCTCGAAAATTGAACAAAATGTTCGTATTCTTTAAGTCAGAAATACCACAAAGGATAATGTGGGCTTATCAATGCAATTG